AAAAATACTTTAAAAACAGATTTCAAACTCCTTTTAGATTAGACAAGAGAATTTTCTCAAATAACTGAAAAGCCTAAGCATTCCCACATAGTTGAAGCCATAGATTCAAAATACCTATTTCTTAACTATGCTTCTCTTGTATAATTAGTTTATTTCTCAGGCAGGTCCTTTCTACCTGTTGGGAAATGCTGCCATTATTAACACTAAGTCCTTATTCATAATCCAAGAGTAATCTTCCAACTCCAGGTGCTTATTTCCATGAAAGGATTTTGACCAACCCTATTTGAATCATAAGTCAATGTCTTGAAACTGTTGACCTACTATTTTTGTCTGTATCCATATCCTTTAAAATACTGGAGTATCTGTGATTCAGAATTCAGACATTTTCAAATTTGGGATACATGATTCTGTTTATTGTGTAACACTCACAGCAACATCTAGGAAAATACCACATCTACAAATATCTCTCCCACAAAGCATATACTAACAGAAAGTAGGAAGAAGAAAGACTATACTTTCATTTCTGTCCACTGAGTATCACAAATTTAAAAAAAAAATCTTTTTTATGCAATCTTAGGGTTTTAAGAAAAGATGGTAATGCTATAATATACATTATTGCATATAGATATACCCTATGAGCTAGACATTGTATTAACTTAAAAGCTCTGTGATGCCAGAAGCAGTATTAAATTTTGTTGGTCTTCATGTCTTTGGAATTGGTGCAGCACCTGATAGAGAGCGCACATTAAATACATTTGTTGAATAAATAAATGAAAATATTGGTGACTTTTCGTATATTACTTCATGGGGTTCTAACTGCCCCATGATACAGAGATTACTTTTCCTAGTCATAATTTAATGAATGAACCTTATTTTTGTGAGTTATGAAAATAGAAATAATGATACCTGACAGGATGAATGAGGCTAAGAGACACTAAATAGCAAAAGCAGACAAATTTCAAGTAGCTGATAATACAGTGCTATCCAGGTTAATCTGACTCTGTTGTTATATTGTTACTTTATTCCATTAATGTTTCCAAATCAAGCTACGAGGGCAATGAAAGGGATAGTTTAAGAGCTACAACTTTCTACAAATTCTGTAACAATTAGAATATGAGTCATAGTTTAGTCATAGTCATGCCATCTTATGGGGAGAGTCATATCATCTGAGCTGCAGAATTCTTAAATTGTGTATTTTATAAAATAATAAGATGTGAAAAAATAATCTTAATTTACCCTATCTAAATCCCAATTTCTAAATAATTTGCTTTAATTATTTTGATAAATCTCAAGCTCCTTAAAATCATTGTTGTATCCCTGTTGCTGGCAATCTGGCCCTGTCTAATAACATGACTAAACTATGTTTAATGTCAGAGTCTACAGAGTGTCACCACAAATAGAATCTTCCATTCTTGATTTCCTTTTACTTTTTCATAGTTAAAAAAATAAGCTTGCAACATCCTATATGTTAAGCAGAAGTTCAGCATACTCTAACATTTTTTTTTTTTTAGTTATAATTTCAAGACCAAACATTGGAATAATTTGTTGATGTGGTGCATTTTACATGTATATAAGTAAGGACACATTTACATTGTGCCAACAGCAATCACATCTTAAGTCCCCAATTAAAATGTGACTTTTTAACCTCCTAAAGCTTCATGCGACAGTTTAGCCATCTGTTTAATGAAACAACCACCACTGATTTAGGCATACATAATTATAACAATAAGAACAGTGCTGGGGAAAGATCAACTCATCCCACTTGAGAATGACAGTTAATTATGAAGAGATAATTAGTGTATCTGTGTATATATGGGGGGTTAATATTATCTCATATTCAGGGAAAGAAATAGGAAACAAATGTTAATTTAGGTATAGATCAGGTAATTACAATAAAGAAAAAATCAACAAGCAACTATAAACCAGAGACATGCTACCTGGGGGCTGGGGTGGGGGAGAGGAGGGATTAGGGCCAAAATAAGGGGGTGGGGATTATATGGAGAGTATAACCAAAATTAAAATGCATACATTGTGCAAAAATGAAAAATAATGTAAGAATTATATAAAATGAAGAATGCATGATTATATATATTTTGCAATCATTTAAAAATCTTCTAAGATATATACTAATCTTTACTGAAAACTATTCAACTAGAAGTGTTGCTTTTTATAAATTATCCATTAAAGTATTTGCATTTGATACTTAAAAAATAAACTTATTACATGGAAGTTTTTATATTTTATTAATCTCTCATTGATGTAAAAGGGAATCTTAGCACTTGAATCCCTGGTGAAATCTATGACTATAGCCCTTAACATATCCTGATAATTATCTGCCAGGAAGAACCTAAGGCATGATATTTTAATAAACTTTCCACTATCAAATGTGACGAAGAAAGAGTTTCTGAGATGGTTCTCAGAACTTACACTAAATAATAGTTTTAAATTTATCTGTTGTAAAATTGCTTTATAAGAAGCAAAACTGATTCTCACTGTCTTGGTATAAGTACTTTTGATATGTTAAATGGATAAGCACCAAATTATGGAGGAAAAATAAAAGACTTTCCTGCTAGTATCTTATGACCAGGGGCAGCATAACTGAGTTCTCTGTGTATGAGCATTGACAGTAATTATTGACTCATCACTATCACATCCACGGAAATGTTTAGCAGGATTGCCTCACAGGAGAGAAAGAACTCTGCTTGGCTCCTCATTCTCATTTTGGGCATGGAACTAAGCTTCATTATGTTTCATGTACAATAATTTCTTGGTACTTCTGGTTGTTCCAACCAGAAAATCATATGACTTTAGACTGACAGTTTAGAACATGCGATGGAACTTACATATTTTCTTTGTGCTATTAATGAAGAAGAGTTCTAAAGTATTAATAGGAAAATATATTGGGAGGATTTCAATACTTTAAGGATTTTAAGGAGATCATAATATCTGCTTGAACGGAACTGTAATTGGTTGTAAACAGATTCCTCCGCAGACATGTGTTTAGTATATTTAAGAGCTCTAACTTTAGTTAAGCTCACTGAGGCCTTAGTTGTAAAATTAGTCTAAATATTTACTAGGAAATATTAGTCCTAACTATCACCAGACATCACTGTGAATCCAGGTGTTTACACATGCATGTGATCCTGGGTAAGGTGTAGAATCTTTCAGAACTTTCATTTATTTTTCTCTATGAGCGACTTAAGTAATCCTCACTAGAGTTGTTTAGAAGACTAAAACAATAATGAACCTAAGCTTTTTGTGTTAATGCCTGTACAACCTAAGCACTTAATATGAGTTAGACGTCAATAAGATTTATTTTAAAATTAAATTGGGATGGTACTAGTTTTCTTCTTGGAGGTAAAATATATATTTAAAATAAAATAAATTCTTTGAAAAATACCTTTATATTTCATAAACTAATTGATTCATTCTGCAGAAGCAATAGGAAATTGTATTTATAGCTTTATGGTAGCCTTTTCATTTTATGGTAGCCTTTTTGCTTTGCAAGTATTTCTTTTTGACCCTCCTCTGTTTCCAACACACAGTCCTGTCTTTATAATTTCCTTTTCAAAAATCTTCTATTATATTTCCCCTGTCACTTCAGGGGCTCTCTATACTTTTTTTTTTTTTTTTTTTTTTGCAAAAACATAACTCTGAATATCCTAATGTTTATTGTCAAAGTTGTCTGGCTAACATTTCAGATGTACACAGTACATTTTCTACCTTTTGCCTGCAGAGTTAACATTTGAGGAAGTTTGCTGACACAGCAGCAGTAATTACTACCTAGTTCAATCAACATCAGAGTACAGTTTCTTTCATATTACACAAATCACACTAAGATATATTTGCTAAAACACTGGTTTGAATTTAGCTGTTCTAGAATATTGTTTGAGACATAAACTCTATGATTCAATTTGTTACCTGCCCAGAGTCAGCAAAATGAACCAAGTACCATAAAAGCATGTGCACTTTCATTTATATATATTTATATATAAAATATTAAAAAGGTCTTTATTAGTTTGGAAGCTTCTACTCAATGGCATTCATACATATTTTGAATCGAGGCTTTGAAAACCCTAAAGTGGCATGCTCTACTATATATGTTAACTATCTAAAAGATAATCTTATTTTGTAGTTTTATGTTTTTCCATCTCATCTGGTTTAATTTTCATTTTATTTATCATTTACTTGTTTTAATTTTGAAAAAACATCCAATATCATTAAGTATTTCATCTTTCAGTTAGATGAATTATCTGTAATTATGGGAAAAATAATGGAAAACTTTTCTGATGATCACAAATGATATGGAGAGTTGCAAACAATTTGTAGTTAATTAGGAAATTAGTTGGAGGGTAATTAATTTCTATGTGGTCTACACTGAAGATAGGCTTCCAATTTTCACTCTATTAAATTAACATTGACTCATTTAATAAATAAAACAAAACATAGGCACACACATCGTAAACATCAAACTTGTGACATCAAAATTGCTCCAGGACCAACTTTTAGTTTGCATTTAAGTATTTTAATCACATCAGTAGTGTCACAACTTAGATTGCAAATATTCATAATACTTCATTTTAAGATCAACATGGTTTGATTATCAGTTTTTCCAATTGTGTTTCAGCCCTGTCACTTGTTTTTGTTTTGTTGTGCATTGTCATGTGTCCAAAAAGACTTAAAGGACTTGTTTTATTTGCAAAACCTGGTCAGTACTTTTGCCACTGTCTGTTCAAACTTCAGCTCGATGGCCCAGACTAAATACTTGTTACAATGGAGCTGTGGGAGTAAATGGTGGATCTGTGTAGCAACTGTATTTTTAACCTCTAACTAGCTTTCATTGCTCATCTTTGCAACTCCCATTTCCTCTTTCTATTGAAATAAGTTTACTTGAAATAAATGGATACTCCTGCACGTCCTGTGAACTCTTCTAAGGGTAGCATTGGTCTGTTAATGATACTGTTAATAATTTTTTCAATTTTTTTTCTCTTTTTTTTTAGTCTCGACCTATTCCTTCCCACCTTACTTCAGCAGTTGCAGAGAGTATCTTGGCCTCAGCCTGTGAGAGTGAGAGTAGAAATGCCGCCAAGAGGATGCGTCTGGAAAGACAACAGGTACTGAAGAGTCTTGGGGGTCTGGTATACACTGGTAATAACAAACATGGCTAATTAAGGATTTTTTATAAAAAAGAAAATAATATGAATAGATTTAAAATTACAAAAAGTTATAATTTTTCTGTATTTCTATAAATTTTAACTTGTAGATGCATGTTCATGCAATCAATAGAAACCTAAGAACAAAAATGTTTTATGGTAAAAATAGACAATTGTAAAGTTAGTGTATAATCTAAAGGTCAATTGCTTATTGAAATAAGAGTCTCTCCCTGATTATTGACAATACATTTTTTAATTTACTTGATCATGTATGCTAGTGACATGGTTATGTTCACTTTGAATGAGCATCTCATGTTTCCTCTGTTCTACTGCCAATGTCCATAGAATGTGCTGGGAAGGTGATAGTACAATGTAACACGGAAAGACTAGAAAGTTATGAAATGAAACTATAAAGCAGTGTAAATCTAGGTCCTGGGCTTACTTCCTCATGAATGAATTATTTACCGTATATTAAGTATCATCTTTCTAAATATTTTTCTATTTTATTTTTTATTATATATTTTTTTTACATAATTGTTCATTTTTAAACAATGTTTGCTTCCCCATAGAATTTGGGGTGTAGTCCCCATAGAATTTCCTTCAGCAATGCACCCGTGTACCATCACCTTAGTCCCCTGTGCTCCTCCCTTCCTCCCTCTGATGCCTCCCCCTCCTCCTCCCCTGTAGTATGTTTCTGATTTATAATTGTTGGGTTTTGCTTTTTTGTGTTTTGTACTGTTATTATTTTTTACACTAATGTCTTATTTGGTTCCCCTATATTCCTGCTAGTGAAACCATCCAATATTTTTTTCTTTTTCCTTCTGGCTTATTTCACTGAGCATAACTCCTTCTAGCTCCATCCATGTTGCTGTGAATGGCCTTAGTTTATCTTTTTGATTGCTGAATAGTATTCCATTGCATATATATACCACATCTTCTTGATCCAGTCATCTATTTTCTAAATCTCTTCTCTAAGGATACACCCACTGGAAATGGATGTGTAGTTTTTGTGCATTATTCACTGATGTTTCACTCAGTTTCCCCCTGCATCTATCTGTCTCCCCTTTTCAGAGCTTTCTTTGTTTTCATTTTCTCTCATTCTCTTTTTTTTTTTAACATTCTTTTCTTTTTTAAAGATTTATTTATTTATCCAAGAACCAGGGTACAGGCCAGATTTGCGGGAGGGTGAGAGGATTCACCAGAGGCAGAGAGGGGAACAGAACAGGCAGACTGACAAAATCCACTGCAGAGGGGAGCAGCGGGTGAGACAGGAGGGGTCTGCTCTGCCATGTGGGACCCCCGCCAGCCAGCTGGGATCGAAACAGAGCTGCAGATGCTGTGGACAGCTTTACAGCGCTGCGCTCAACTGCCTGCGCCACCAGGGGAGGCCCTCATTCTCTTTCTTAGTAACCTATAATATAAAGAACTATATTTCACTATATAATAGCGTATGTTATACATAAAAGTATTCTGTATCCTGAATTTTACATTATTTTTATAACAAATTATCTGGGTGCTTCATATTTCTAATTGAAGTTAGAATGAAGATACCAAATTTTAGTCCAATTCTGTTTTTTCCTCTGTGCCAATGACTTTCAAAGAAAAAAGGAAAAAAAACAAGCTTTTCCATTCCAGGTTTAGAATATTTAAAAATGTTTTAGAGTGACATTTTTTGAATTTTGTATAATAGTAAAATGGCTAATGCTAATAGTGCTAAATTATGAAAAGCCTTTAAAGAATATAGTAATAGCTTCAAATAAAATGTATTTTGAATTTCTTAATCATTTTTGTGAGCAGTACTTATTTACATATGCATATCCCCAGTTGAGAATTTTATTATTAGAACTCTAAAATTTTTATTACTAAAAATGAGTTATAGCATACTACACAATATCATCTAGCATGGTAATAAATATTTCACATTCTGGAGTTAAATGAATCTGGTTTTCATTCTCAAATTACTGTTATATATTCTGTGACTTTCATGCTGTTCCAGCTCTCTGTGGCTCTATTTCTTCATATGCAAGATAACAATACCATAACTAATCCTATAGGATTGTTGTGAGAACATTACATGTCAGATTTATGTAGTTTTTTGTCTGGCACCTAGTAAACATCAATACATTCAGTCAAGAAAATGAGATTTTAACTGATGTTTTATTTTTTCTGTTTCCTACCAGTGAAACTAGAAAGAAGAATTAACAGCACCATCTCAAATATAGGAATTTTAAAATTAGAATAAGTCCTTTTGAGAAAAGATCACAAATCTAGAAATTGAAATAGTAGAGTTCTGGAACTGAATGGGTTCTCCTAGTTGTTGTCTTGCCATATATGCCACCCAGTGTACACTCTACAATATCTCACAGTATCAGTCATAGAGTTGTTATGAACATTAAATATCTGATTCATGTTGTACACTATTATATCACTGCAAAATCCCCCAGTGTTGATCATCCATCAATATTTCATCCAACCCACTTAAAATTGTTAGCCTAATCTTCCAAGTGAGAAATACAAATAATAAATTCTTATCTTTATTGTGAGGATTTAATAAGACAATGCAAATGAAAGCATAGTATATGTAATGAGTTTCCATAGTACTAGAGATATTACTTATACCATTGGTTGAATACATCAAGTAGGGCTAAAAATCTATATTAGAGTTGTTCTATTTTCAAAGCACTGTAATCATTTTGAAGTTTTTTAAAATGGGCCCAAATTTGCTTTCGGGAGTTTCTACCCCTAGGGGGAAAAAAACAAACAAACTCCTAGCTATAATGAGTGTGACATCTTACTAGTGTCCTAGGCATAAGGACTGGTTTGGTGGGGACCAGTGATTCTTAACCCTGCTTCTATATTAAATGTTTCCTTTTTTTTATGTCCTTATAGTTAGTGTTCATTTATTGCAAGGATTTGTCACCTGAGAATAGGCATGTCCTATATTGCCCCCAGTTGGAATGTTCTTTCCCGAGCTCAAAAGGGTTCAGTGGACTCAGCCTTTAGGGGAAGTTGGAAGAAATGATTAAAAAAATACATTTTATGACTTATTGAAAGTCTAATACATACTCTAAAGACATATGTTTCATTTATTTTTTTCAAAATTCCCACAGCAGGTTATTATTTTGCTCATTCATATATGAGGAAACTGAAGGTCAGAGAAGTGGATGATTTCTTCAAGGTTACCCAGCTGCCTGAGATAGTCTGGGTTGAGTTTCTATTATGTGAGGCTGACAGTTAGGATTGCTCCACAGCCCAACACCTTTTTATTGATTATCTTCATTGAGAGGAAACCCATGTTGTGGAACAAACTATTAGGACTCATGTAATTGGTGCCTCTGTTCACAGTGTTTTTTGACAGTACGGATTTTTTTGTTGGAAAACTATTTGCTTTATTCATAGTTTTGCACTTTTTCATATTTAGCCAGCAAGGTTTACCTAGTAAGCAAGTTATTCCAATCAGAATATTTTTGTTTGAATATCAGCTTGAAAGATTATAAACTTCCTGAAGTCCTTTCCTCCACCTAGGGGAGTAAGTCATACACAAAGAAAACTGGTTTAGTGTTTTCTTTAGTATTTTGAAATACAATGAAAATAGAAATTTTAGGGGCCTCCCTGGTGGCGCAGGCGGTTGAGCATTGCACTGTGAAGCTGTCCACAGCCTCTGCAGGGTGGGTTCGATCCCGGCTGGTGGGCAAGAATCCCACATGGCATGGCAGACCTCTCCTGTCTCGCCCACTGCTTACCTCAGCAGTGTGTTTCATCAGCCTGCCTGTTCTGTTCCCCACTCTGTCCCTGGTGAATCCTTTCACCTGCCCACGCATCTGGCCTGTACCCCAGTTCTTGTATTAAATAAATCTTTAAAAAAAGAAAATAGATATTTTAAAATAATTTCCTCTGACTATGAGTTCCACACATTTCATTTGGCATGCCTACAAAAGCATCTACAAAGTGCTTTTTAGCTTCACATCAAAACACTAAATGAGTGATGGGAGATACATCCCCTTGTTGCAACTTCACCTTGCCCAAGTGTAAAAGGCAAATGTTTTGGGGGGTGTTAGTGATGAGATCATCCTTTTCTGTGCTCATTCTTAACCCAACTCATAATTCTTAGAATTTTCAGTGTCTCAGATTCTTCATTGTGCTCCTGATTTTCCATAGATGCAAGAAAGTTAAACTGGGGCAGTTAAAATCTGGATTCTGTTAAACTACACATCTGATTGCTTCCTGCTCATGGTTAGCCACATGTAGGGCTGTAATTATGTGCGCCCTTCAGAGTTCATGAAGCTTGATGAATTAATTGGATTTTATAAAGCTCTTTGAGCTATGAACATGAAAGCTTTTATGGATGTTTTAAATACTTTATTTCATATTGTCCACCTTGCACCAGAATCCAGAGGAGGCTTTCTGTTATAAAGCTCTGGCCCTGAAGCATGCCAGTGGCAAGGACTGCTTCATCAGGAATAAGATTTCACAGAGTGAAGGTCAATCCCTAATGCACAATAGCACATATTCAGCATTCCTGTTTGACATGAAAATTGGGGATTCTTAGGTTATATAAGAAATTCTTCCTCACTTTGACAATTCAAAAAGGTGGATAAAGTCATAGTTCACTTTTATAATTCTATGACATAGCTCAAATTTAATGATTGCCTTTTACAGTCTTTATTATTTGTGTATTATTTCATTACTATTCCCTTATAAACAAAGATATCTCAGTGTTCTTGGTTACAATTCACTCAATAGAGTGATAGAGACAAATGTAAGAGATCAGAACCAGATATATTGTAGTAATTTATTACCCATCTCTGTATGTTTGGCTTTTGAGGGATTGACATACTTTTTATTCCTAGGCTTGCTGGTGGAAATAGGTGGTTTCTGAAAAATGTGAGAGATTCTTTGGTTTATTTTCTCTATTCGGGTCTTTCCATTAAGTTAGTTTATAATTCTACAGATAAAGCCAA